AGTCAAAAGAGAAGGTAGAGGAAAGCAATATCTTAGTCTCTTAACAAAAGATACATTTGTTTTCCTTTTATATAGACTAAATATTTTAATACACACACCTCTCCAAGTATGACAAAGAGATCCAGTTTCTCCTTGAAGACGTATGGCAGGAATAAAAGTGCAGCCCTTATGTCAAGATCTGCCAAAAAAACAACAACAACAAAACACAAGATCACCCATGCATTTTATCTGGCATTTCCAGTTACCTAAAAAATTATATAAAATGGAAGCCTTGAAGTTAAAAAAAAACAAAAAAACAAAACAAAGCAAATACCTGGTAGGTCATCAGTGAGAGCCTCCTCTCTTGCATCAAGGTAGAGCTGGTAGAGTGGGGTTTTCCCTTGCTGCAACACATGAGAGCCCTTCACGAAATCGCTGGCTTACATTACCCGTTGTTGGTTGGATTCACCCGAGTTCGTTGCACAGCTACAAGTAAAAAATTCATTTTCAGTACAAAATAACAGTGTATGAAAATGAAATAATCTGAAGTTGATATTAATTATTTTTTTTATAGAATTTAACAACAATACTGTAAGAAGTTACATGAACATACAAAAAAAGGAAAGATGAAGAATGAAGAAAGCAAGGTCAAGGGCAAATAAAATTTACTACTATAAACATGTTAAATGTGACAGCTATTTCCAAGTTCAATTCAGCTTTCTGACTTACACCAGTAGGCATCCCTAAGAAGGGGTACTTCTTCAACACATCCTCCACAGGCATACCATTTGCAATTTCTTTCTGCCGCCAAGCACACGTTTGCTGCATACGGTTATGAACCACCATGGTATCTGGTTGCATCTTCTGATATTGGCACTGTAAGACCTTTAAGTGGGCGTCTATGGATAATAAATCCTCTCCTTGGACGCATGGTCCCTTGAAAGAAAGCAAGAGTGAGAAGAGAAAGTCAAAACAGATTAGAAATCCAACATAAGACTAAATTAGACAATTAGAGCTGACACGATCTGTGCATCACAAAGAACTCGTATCGGTTAAAGTTAACCGATACCATGAACCAATATTTAAAATATGGAAACTCTGAAATAATTTCACATAAAATCTTAATTGTTAACTTGAAATTTTAGTTCTGGAGTCATATTTAAAATGTTTTTTTTTAGTTTTTTTTTTTTTTAATCTAGTTCACCTTCTTTTAGCGCCTTCTAATTAATAATATTTTGTGAGGTAGAAGTATTAGCACTGGTACTTTGTATTAGCAAGTGCTCTAATCCAAGTATTGGTATTGTTTCGGTTTGAAAAAAAAAGGGGTACAGTTGCATCCCTAATCTTTAGTTTTAGATGTAATAACAGAGGCAAGAACATTTTATAGCTCAAGATGTCCCTCACACCAACCTGACAAACATTTCTCTGACTTGTTCATTGACATTTATTAGGCTGCCCAAACTTCTCCTTACAACGCCTCACTGCCTCACGGTCGACTAGTGGTGCCCGCTCTGATTTGAATTCACGTCTCAAAGACATATGCCATGTGTGCTTGTTGAACAGAAACATAAGTTACTGTAAAAACAATCTACACAAAATACACCCAACAAAGAATCAGTAAACATACTTCATACAAACCTACTGAGAGGCTACAGATTGTCTTACTAACAAAACAAGATCGAAAAAAGCTTCACTTTTACTTTGTAATCTTGAAGGAACCTTATGCAAATTTTAAATTTAACTTACATAACCATTTCCCTCACGATCCTTGAGGAAAGGATACTTCATTACCAGCGTCTTCACAGCTTGCACATATTCAGAATTTGTGGGATACCTGTAATATCAGAAGAAACATAAGTGTTAGAGCAACTGCTGACAAACAAACTTTATCAAGTGTCAGTTATTGTTTCTTAGTAATGTAGCGTTTATTTTCAATATGACAGATTCAGCTTTTTCTAAAGCAACAAGCTAACATTACCCTGATTAACTTACATAGTATACTGTGCCACAGCTTCATATAGAACTCTGATTATTGTGTGTCTGTCCCTTGGATTTTTATGGCACGGTTCTTTGTTGTCCAGTTTTAGTTGGAGATTTTTGGGAAATCTTGGAATTTCAAAAGAGGCTGGCAGTCTCAAAGTATTTTCATTGGTGTGAAAACAGTTAAGTGTTTGTTTTTATTGCATGAATTGAAGTATAAAACACTACAGTAACAATACATATGGTAGAAACAATGATCATATTAACTAAATCCTAAAAGTGCATAACGGCCAACATGTATGTTTCAGACATACTAACTTCATTATAAATAAGAAAATACCTTATTGAAGTTGACGAAGTAGATGGTTGCCAGTCTTCTGGAGAGACAGTCTGTAGAGTCAGCGTCACTGAAGATTCCTTCATCCTTGACACAAATTGGTTGAATTTAACCTGCTTTTTGAAGGATCCTTGGAAAAGGTATGCAACCATAGTCTCAGTAAGACCGCAGTCAACTGTGTCACCATCAACCTCATTGTCTGCAAGATAAATGGTAGTACAAACTCTAAATTCCATGTAAGAATATTTATCACCACATTTTTACATGGGTAAAAACCGTATATCACACACATTAAAACCTTTTGTACAACTTCTTTCAGTTCAAAGAAATATTCATTTAAAAAAATCAGTAAATTAAATAAAATAAACCAAATCTTTAGAGTGAATCCTCTCGATATGCAAAGTTTTCATTTTTAAATTTAGATGTTTGTTTGGGACTACTGGACACAGGAGAGCAGAGTCTGAGCATGCTTTTGTGCCCTTTCAAGTTTGGAAGAAAAAAAAGACTAGAATGCTGTAATTTGTTAATATTCACTACTAAGGTGACTCCTTTCTCCAGATTTCCGACAGTTTCTGCCGTCTGTTCTTTCAGACCGATTACTTATAGCGATAACACCCGCAGGACCGTATTACAAGCTCAGATTACATGCTGAAAAAGTTCCCACATTGCTTAAAACGCGACTATCAAACCCCAGCTGCAACACCCTTGTTATATTTTAAACAAGTGCGGCGTCAAGATATTTCCTTTAAACGTTATATTCAGCCGCCCATGTGTGTTGATGGCCTTGGAGTGGATGTAAAAACGTGATTTTATTAAACCATTAATACACTAACGGTAAACTGCATTCAGCTACCAGGGAATCAAATTTCGCGCCGTTCCGCTGCGCAGGGGTTACCGAACCTATGGACTGTGGCCGAACCACATATATAAGTTCAAATTTATACAAATACTATGTGTACACATTTTTCATTTTTCAGAACTGTGACCTCAACTTTACACATGAAACGTTTGTAAAAACGTTTGTAAAAAGACATAATTTGAGCTAAGAGAGTGCCGAAACTAGCTAAATTGCTAATATACGTTAGCTAGGCTAAACCAATAATTAGTAATTACGCTACATTTTTCTTTAAATAAAACTTACCTCTGAAACGCTGAGCTTCAGCTTCGGTGACATCTAAGCCCCACTCTTGTATTTTTGTTAAGAGTTCCTCGGTTGAAAGTGAACAGAGCACACCAGGACTTGCAAGTTCGTAATCCATCTCCCTCCGTTGATAAAACAAAATGGCACCTGCTGCATTTACAGAAAGTTCTAGAATCCACCAGCTATTCGTTGAGTTTCTTCTTCTACTTTTTGTTTGATGTTGTGAGGATGGGCTCAACTCGCACTCCGAGTTCAATAAGGGTGCTTTTTTGCAATTCATCCAAATAGTTATACTTTAAAAAAACACTCTCTTAAAAAAAATTTTAAATGCATTTTTACTTTTTTTTCTTTCAAATAAATTCATTGTTCTTAAAGCAGCTTAAAAATAAGGGGGGTTCAGGGAATACAAAAACAACAACAGCAATGAAAATAATAAAAAATAAAATAAAAACACTAAAATATATGCTTAAATCAATACAGTTGCAAATAAATTACTGTCAAAAAGAATTTAAAAAAAAACCTCTAATCAAAAAGAGCTTAATCAACCTGTACTTTATCTTTTGAAAGAATGGGTACAAATAAGTACTTTTCACAATTAAGGAACATGTATGTACCTTTCAGACGCTAAAAAAGGTACAGATAGTTACCCCGAGGTCCAATATTTGTCCTTAGACTGTATTAATGTCATTTTTGTACCTTGGGGCACAGTAATGTACCCCTTCCGTACCCCTATTTCTGACTGTGTACCCACATGGAAAAGAAATAGAAAAAAACTTATAAAAGACTTGCATAAGATGTGGCCTACTTCATATAGTGAATCATATAAGGCTTATATGATTTACTCATGAAAGTGGCCACTTTCTCATTACTTTCATATATTGTTTTAGTAAGTATCCAAAACATACAAGTTTCATTTATAATTTTTCAAGGGATCTTATATCTGTTTTCACTCTTGTATGCTTTTCATACAAGTTTCACACAAGACAGATACAAACTTTATAAGATTTATATATATCTTTTCCATATGGGTATGCACATATTGTGCATGGGATCCTCAAACTGATGACAATACCTTTTGAGATCACATTCTCCTGAACTGTCCATCAAAGTGAGAAACACTCCAAAAATCAAAAGTCAGTTGATTCAGAAGGATTCAACCTTAAGAGCAGAGAGTTACCGAGCATAAACCTGCTGAAGCAAATGGTGGAGACCCTGTAGAGGCTTGGGACTGACGACAGTGACGAGGAGCCTGAGATGGCAGGTGATAAACAATGACAGAGGGTGGTGGAAACCCATAGGTGACACTAGTGTTGGCTAGGACTCCACACTGGACCACTGCAGTCACCTCAACCTGACCGCCAGCACTGGACTTCATATCAGATCACTGTCTGACACGTAACCCAGAAGGAGTCACATGAATGATCCTGCCAACAAAGCCAATAAATATTTTGGAAATCTACAACAAATAAGGACTGAGAGACTCTAATGGTGTCTTTCTATCTTATTTATTGAACATCTGCCACTGAACCACACAACCAAAGAGGACAGAAAATATATGATTTAAGGAATACTTGTTTTTGAGATTATTCCTTAATCTTAGGATTTTTCCCCAAGGCTGCTGTTTATCACTATGTACTAACAAAAGAATTTCATGCCTACATTAGTAGCACACCGAGCAGAAAAAGACTCCAACATAAAAGGAAATTACAAGTGGATAATTACACAACAGCGATTAACTGTATTAAATTGTCTTTTGTTTTAGTAAGTATCCAAAACATACAAGTTTCATTATATAATTTTTCAAGGGATCTTATATCTGTTTTCACTCTTATATGCTTTTCATACAAGTTTCACACAAGACAGATACAAACTTTATAAGATTTATATATATCTTTTCCATATGGGTATTTGTTACCTTTTCACAGTTTCACCCGGTTCGTAGATTCCTCAGGCCTCCAGAAAGAACACCGGGGACTCAGTAGTCAATTCACAACACTTTTATTAATTCACACTCATTGATCACACTTATTGATTATACCTATTGATTACACCTTCTAGAAGGGAGATGTACAGGACCCCGGAACTCCTCTGCAGATCTCAACTCCTTTGTCTGTTACATGCAGTTTTGTATCAGTGACCCCCCTTCTAAACCCTCTACAAGGTGCCATAAAACTAAGTACTATGTTTACATACTTTCACTTGTGTGTGTGTGTGCGTGCACATGAGTGAGTGTGCGTGTGGATGTGTGTGCGTGACAGTTAAAACACTGTGGGTGTAGGTAACTCCCTAGAGGTCATAAAACCCCTCTCCCTTCCAGACCACAGTTATCCTGTTATAAATGTTGAGACCCCCACCCTAAAACATCCTCTGGGGAATTTCCACTCAGTGGGGGAGAGGCCTCCTACAATCTACTCCTAAGTTCACAACACAGTGAGGCCTTTATTACTTTAAGGGCAGTATCAATGTCTCTACAATAGTTCTACATTCTATGATAACACATTTCTAAACTCTAAAATAAGCTAAACATTCTACAAGTCCCCCTTTTTTATCTGCTCTATGGCAGATAAAACTAAACTAAATCCCTCACCATAATGTTTTCATACTGTGACTCCCCATTTCCCAAAAGTGGCATCATGGTGTCGGCCTTTGTATCAGATTCTCCCACAGCACGATTGATGAGTCTTACAATCAAAGCTCTGATACAAGGCACACAACAACACCCACATGTCACTAATACTGCAATAAAAACAGACAAAGAAACCATAATTGACATAGTCAAAGGAGCTTGCAAAGAAAAGCGTCTGGACTTCTTTAAGTTGCTTGAAGACGTTTCACCTCTCATCCGAGAAGCTTCTTCAGTTCTAAGGTCAAATGGTGGAGAGTCCCAGATATAAACCTAGTGGGAGTAACCCCCCACAGAGGGACAAAAGGACCCCCTGATGATCCTCTAATCGCCTGAGCCAAGGTGTGAAACTGGGTGTGGGTTCCAATCAGCCAGAGTTTCGGGTGAGTTCATTGTGAAACCTGGCCCCACCTTATCATGCGAATTCCTGAGATCAGATGGCCCTAGATAGCCTTCTCTCGTGAGTCTAAGCATGCACTCAAATCCCCACTGGTCTTCAGGATATAGGGGAGCTGGTTCTGTGAAAAGATGTGGGCGAGCAGCTGCGCACGCCACACAATCTGAAACATTTTGTTCTCTAGCATTTTGGATGAGCCAATCTAGCCACAAATTGCTGTCACGATAGCCAGTGGCCATTGAAATAAGCTGTTTAGGTTTGAGTCTTGTATAATCTACTTCAAGTATTTGTGGGCCCGATTCAGAAAGTAACAATGGTGAGGGAGGTGTTAAAACAATTCTTTCAGCCACCTCAGGTGCAGAATCTTTAAAATTAATTTTAACCAAGCCATATGGATCCTTCCCTGAGACATCTGCTCCTATAAATAAATACACCACAGATCGGGCGGGCCACACAGTGTCATACCAACGATTCAGTGAGAGAGTCAACGGGTTCTGCCCAGTTGAGAAGTCCCGCTGAAACCCAAGCTTCTGCCATGTGGCGTCCTTGTAGGGGCGCCACGTGCCAGAATACTCCACTATGGTAGACCAGTAATCACATGGGCCCTTCCAATAAGTGTGATAGGGGTAGCCAAGCTTCTGATTATTACACTCTATATCTACCATTGGATTGTAACCTACCCAAACATCATATCCCCGCATTACATTTATAATGACAGCACAAAGATCGAATGTGTACGAAGTAGTGGACCCTTTAACGTAGTCCAGCTCTATACCGCCATAATAATCCAAACACTCATCAGATTTACCTGTTTCGCTGCGTTTGGTTCGCTCCGCCGTGGCCTGTGAAGGGGGTATCCCCGGAGTGGACTCAGATCTGTCTCTGGGCAATTCACTTTCAAGAAAAATCACAGTTACAATTACAACAGTTATCACTCCTAACACTACCATTGCTCTCCACTTTCCCCATAACCCCATTTTGGTTATTTCTCTCATCGCTTTTTGTCCAATGTAATTTCACTTGTTCTTTTTGTTTTTTTTTCGTTTGCTTTTGCTTTTATTTACTTTTGTTTTTTGTTGTTATAGTTGTTATTATTTTTAAACCTTTATCTTCTGAGTCGGGTGATTCTCTCTTACTCTTCTTTCTTCAACTTCCGGGGTAGACTACCCTTCAGTCGTTGCATGGATCAGGGATTTATTCTGTCCCTGGGCTGGGATCCATGTGGGGGGTCTCAGCCGAGTTCCCCCTCTTTTCCTTTGCAGAGAGCCTTTCCGACCTCTTAGGCTCTTCCGCTACAGCACACTGGCTCCAGTGGTACCAGGTTTCGCCTTTCCCTTTCAGTCGGACCGCGTGTGAGGTCCTGGTTTCCACCTCGAATGGACCTGTCCACCTGGGCTCGTTCCACTTTCGTTTGTAGACCTTCAGCCACACCCACTTTGCCTCTGGCACCGTCTGCTCCTGTCCTTGGCCTGCAGTCACCTGTGATGTAAAACTTAAGACAAGAGCTTTCAGTGTTTTAAATTGCTTTAAATGTTCAAATGTGGGCATTTCTTGTCTTAAAGCTGGCACCCCTGCAGTGGGGCCAGGAAATTGTCTCCCGGTGAACAACTCATAAGGAGTAAACCCGGTGGACTGATTTACTGAGCATCTAATGCTCATGAGCGCTATTGGTAATGCATCAACCCAATCCATTTTAGTCTGTGCACAGATCTTAGCCAATTTATTTTTTAAATTTTGATTCATTCGCTCAACCTTACCTTGAGACTGTGGATGATAAACTGTCCCAAACCTGTGTTGCAACCCTAACATGGATTCCACTTCCTGCAAATGTTTATTCTTAAAATGTGTCCCATTATCTGATCTAATTCTCTCTGGGAATCCATGCCAGGGAATATAATGATTTACCAAACACTTAATGACTGTTGTGCTGTCTTCTCTCCGGGCTGGCCACGCCTCTGGCCACCCTGTCAAACTATCCACACATACCAGCAGGTATCTAAAACCCCTCACTGGTGTCACCATGTCTGTGTAGTCAATCACTATTTCCTGGCCCGGCCTCTGTGTCAGGGGAAACTTACCCATCTCTGGTTTCACTGTAGGTTTAGGATTGTGTTGGCCACAGATAAGGCAGGTTCGCACATGTTCCCTCAACATGTCCTTCAGGAATGGGTGCCACCAATGACAGAGATTCCTCTCCATCTGGGCGACACCCACATGCCCAAGGCCATGAGCCTCTCTAATCTTCTTCTCTGCCAAATCTGCAGTCAACACTGGTCTTCCATCTGGCCCCCTCCAAATGTTGCTTACCTTTATGGCTCCTCTCTCCTTCCAGAGTGACTTTTCTTCTGGAGAGGCCTTCTCTTGTTCTTTTATGATCTCTTCGCGTTCCAGCCCTGGATTTTCTTCCCAATCCATTCCCACACTTACCATTTGTCTGATCCCCGTGTAGCCAACCACCTTTTTGGCTGCTTCATCCGCTGCTCGATTACCTCGAGCAACCCAAGTGGCTGAATCATCGTGCCCCTTGCACTTTATGATTGCTACCTCCAGGGGTCCTTCCAGGGCTTCTTCCAGGGCCTTCATCTCCTTCTCATGTTTGATTGGTTGTTGATTGGTAGTGAGGAATCCAGCTCTCTTCCACTGACTCAGCTCCACATGTGCAGCTCCAAAGGCATAGGCTGAATCAGTGTAAATGTTTATCCTTTTTCCTTGAGCATATT